GCCTCGTTCTGCTTGAATTGAATAATTACGGTACCGCCCCTAGTGTGAACACGTCGCTCTTTGCAAGCAGACAGGACGAGGTAACTACGGTACCGCCCCTAGTGTGAACGCGCCGCTGTATGTTCAGTACCTCCGTCCCGTAATTACTTCGTCCTGCTTGCTTGAAAAGAAATTGATTAATTACGGTACCGCCCCTAGTGTGAACGCGCCGCTGTATGTTCAGTATGAGTCAACATTAAAAAATGTAACAATTCAACTAAATAATCGATTTAATTACGGTACCGCTCCTAGTGTGACCTGCTTATATACAGCGGAGCATTCACACTAGGGGCGGTACCGTAATTGTTGAGTTTATATAAGCAGTGTTGTGTACAAATTGTTATTTTTACCGAGTCCCGAATCAAAGGATTCGTTCCCCGGGTCGATCTCTCGAGGAAGGTGGTTCGGAATTTAACTTCGGTATTGATTTCACACAAAAAGAAAATAAAAACCTAAACACTCTAATCAGAATAGGGGAATATATTATCAACTAAGAAATCAACAGCAAACAAAAATGAATCTAAAAAGACGAACTAGAAAGCGATAAAGAAGCTAGGGAATCGGGGATAATTAGTTCAAGTTCTAAGCAAAATCGGGCAATCAATTGTTCGGTTCGAGATTGACACTCTCGCTTAGACATCTAGCGGTTCGCTCCCAATAACTCTTCGTAATAAGGGATTGAACATAGACGAGCTAGCTCGAGCATACAACACATGTCAATTATCCTAGTCTCAATAACTTTTCGTAACAAGAGACGGGTCATCGGCAAGTACGTATTTCAATCCAAAACCTATAGACTATTCAGTTACGAAATCATCTATCTCATGCGAGCCTAGGTCTACGACTTCTCCCCTTTCGGTTCTAAAAGTCGCTAATTCAATCAGAAAGTGTTTAATCAACTAATCATATAGAATCAACAACCCTAACTCGACAAATTAACATTCGATTGATACCAATTGCAAGATCGAAGTGTCACTCTTCGATTATATCAAGTTATCAAGCAAGAATTAATTAACCCTAATTAAAGCAACTCGCACAAGCATGAACAATCTTGAGCCCGACAATAACGAAATTAATCAAAAACAATCATCCCCTATCCCTAGCAGAAGGAATTAGCTACGTAAATTAAATTCAACAAATATAATCATTCTACTCGAGTCAACCATTATTCATGAATTAAACAAGAGAAAGAAATACATACAATCAATCCAAGTTCAGATGTTGAATTCGAATTACAAGCTTAATCCCTAACTAAGAAAAAGAAGAAGAAAAATGGAAAATAATGATTAAGAGAAGAAAAGGAACGAGGAAGAAGAAGAAAGAAAGGAGGAGAAAGAGATTTTGTGTTTTTTCCGGACCTAGGGTTTTCACCCCGGTCGAGAAGTCGTCCCAAAGATTTTTCTCGATTAAATATATATAGTCACACGTTGGCACGGCGTGGAAAGATGGCGTCGCGCGAGAGAAGTGCGCTTCGTGGCGTGGTGGGGTGTTGTGCCGCGGCGTGGCGCGCTGAAGGCTGGGAGCTGCAGTCGGGGTCGTGGCAGGGGCGCGGCGTGGTGGATGAGCGCTCCGCGGCGCGGCAGGGCTTCGCGGCGCGGTGAAAGGGCGCTCCGCGGCGCGGCAGTGCTTCGCGGCGCGGTGGATGGGCGCTCCGCGGCGCGGCGGGCGCGCGGGGCCTGGACAGCTCGCACTACTTCACATTTTGGAGTCGTTCGGGCTTGTCTGGTATCGGAATTGAGTTCCATTTTTTCCTGTGTGTTCCCAACGAACTCCTCTATCTAATTACGCTTGCCCAACTGAATTTTGCCCAAAATTCGATCTTCCCGAAGCTTTCGACCTACACACCATAAACGAAGAAAAACCGAAAAAACATACGGAAAACACATAGAAAACCAAAATGGAGATAAACACACAATAAACTATAGGAACGAATAAAAACCAATGAAAAGACCTAAAATGGAGAAAAAAGAAAGATAAAATAAGTACAAAAAATGTAACAAAAATGGGACAAACAAGCAGCCTCGTCCTGCTTGAATTGAATAATTACTTGAATTGAATGTAATTGTTGAGTTTATATAAGCAGCCTCGTCCTGCTTGAATTGAATAATTACGGTACCGCTCCTAGTGTGAACGCGCCGCTGTATGTTCAATATGAGTCAACATTAAAAAATGTAACAATTCAACTAAATACTCGATTTTATAAATCACTAAATCGATTTACATTTAAGAGACCGAAAGAGTAAATCATTATAAATATTTTTAAAAGCTTATCTAGAAATTTAAATTATAAGGATTGTAGTACATTTTTGAATAAATAAATAATATTATTAATCTAAAAAAAATAGCATAGGAAATAATTGACTAGGCATCGATTCCCATCTCGGTCAATCAATTGGCCCGCCTAGGCGAGGAGGAGGAGCTAACTACTTTCTACATCGCAGTACAGGGAATTATTAATATATCGTAAATTTTTTTACATTTTTATACATATTTTATAATATTTTCTTTATATGTATATATATTGATTTTTTAATAAATTTTAATTATTAATATGTTTAATAAAAATTACATTTCTATACATTTTATAGTATTTTATTTTAATATATATATATATATATATATATTAGTTTTTTAAAAATATCGTGGGCCCCCTGGCCCCCATGTAGCTCCGTCTTTGAATCTTTACATTTGCTACTTGGCTATAAAACTAAGACTATTTGTCATGATTACTTTCTAGTATAAAAGTTCAGTATTTTAAAGCATATTGTTCTTATATGGTTATTGATGTCTCAAATTTAGTACATTTTTTGTTTTCATTTTAATTTAATCATATATGACTATATTTGTAATCTTTTGGTTATTATACATTTTTTAATTAGTTTTTATTTACGCTGTTATGAAAAGATTCACTTATTACCTTGAAGAAGTTTATTTCAACGTGTAGGAGTAAAAAAATGCATATGTGATTATATTTGTATTCTTTAAAAAAAAAATCTATTTCACTGTTAAATCTAAAATTATTAAATAGTGTACATAAGTAGTTATTTTCAGAATGACGATGCAACTGATGGAGCAAATTAAAAAATTTAGGCCTTCTATATAGACATGGATATGTGGAATGGTGTTGACAATGAGGGTGATTGTGAATATGAACATTAATATGAAGACATAAACTTCAATATATTTGACGACTCATGTTCCGAATGTTCATATATTTGTTTTAGATGTTAGATTGGGAGACCATTGTTGTTAGTCTTCTATGTACTTCGACATAATTAGTGGTTTGAAGCTTAGAATTAAAACTTATATGTATGTCTTATTCTTTTATGAATGATTTAATGTTATACCAAACATTCTGAATTTCCACAAAAAAAAAAACAAAAGCTCAAAACAAAATGAATATAAAAAAATGTTACATTTTGTTCATATTATGACACACCGGTTCAATTACTAGTTGCTCGACCGGATGACTAGTTGAACCATCCATATGTCGACATATTCAAGTCGACCTCCCTAAGGCGACACCCAGAAAGTCGACTCCTCATGTAGTAACCGAAGGAAGATGTCGGTTCTGACGAACAGACAGTCGACACCCTCAAGGTCGACTTCATGTAGTCGACTCTTACAATCGACCTCTATCAAGAAGACGAACAAGCGTAGCCTCCAAATACTCAATAAGACCCTAAGTCGACCTCCCGGGGCTCGAGGTCGACTCTTTGTGCCTCGAGGCCCAAAAGCGTACTGACGACTTAGTACACTTGCAATATCTCTTCAAGTCTCATACTTCCTAATGGATAAGAAGGAATCTTGTGATGACTAAGCAGTGAGGGGAGACGAATTGACCGGGATATTCCGGACATTTCAAGTAAGTCGACCGGGGCATTTTGGGTGCTTCAAGTAAGTGTTTTCTCCTATATAAAGGGGCTGAGGTAACCCTAAACCCTAACTTCCATTCATTCTATACACTTCCTCTCCTGCTGCTGCTGCTCTCTGAGAGCAGCCTTTTTCATATCTTTCATATACTGACTTGAGCGTTGGAGGCTCTAAGCCGGAAACACTTTCGGCGTTGAGTTCTTGCAGGTGTTTACGGCGGTCTAGAAACGATTCGAAGGTGGTTCAAACAGATCGGAGCTCACAACACCCGGTTTACCCCAGATCTAGAAGTAGACCCATCACATAAATACTTAAAAATTGTCCCCATAGGAAAAAGTGAGTGATACAATTAAAGAATAAAATGATACATTGGAATAAAAATTTCAACACAAAAAAAGAAAAAAAAAATAGTACATTTGAAAGAAAAAAGTGGTCATATATTGATTAACATGTCTAGTTCAAAGTGTTACAATATTTTAATTAATGTAACATATTAAAAAGTATCAAAGCTAACTTATAAAATGTTACTTTAAAGAAGTGTTACAGTATTTTAATTAATATAACATATAAAAAAAAGTTCCACAAATAGCTAAATTATAAAATATTACTTTAAAGGTAGGACAAACAACTTTTGCCCTAAAATACTATTATCTATTCTCTACAATAACACTAATTAATATAACATATAAAAAAGGTTCCACAAAAAGCTAAATTATAAAATGTTACTTTAAAGGTGGGACGAACAACTTTTGCACTAAAATAATATTATCTATTGTCTACAACAACGCTTCATAGCTATTATATATTTTTTTTTATCATACCTAGAGATATCGTGAATAACATATTACATCCTACGGTGTAAATCAAAATAGAGGAATGGTGTAGACTTCCCGCTACATAGATTCTATAATTGACAATACATGTTTTCATGACTTTAATACCCTATAAAGTTTCTCTATGAATGGACATATAATAGAGAACATCATGACCATTATAACCTATAAAGGTTCTCTATGAATGGACATATATATAATAGAGGTGATATATATAACGAATCATTATGATTTTTGAATTAAACATGTGTATCTTTCTAATATAATTTATTTTATTTAAACGATCCATGTATGTGTATATGTATGTGAACCCTATATAAAGGAGCACACACATTTTGCAAATTAAAGCATACAAGATGGCAAAAATTTCAGCAATAGTGGTGTTTTTGGTTGTTGTTTGCCTTGTGTACTTTACAGGTATGGATTTATCAGCAGTTCCTTTGTTACATATTAATTTCTTTTACTCATTAATTTGATTTTGTGTTGTGGTACCAACAATAATATTAATTTTGATCAATATATATATGTGTGTGTGTGTGTGGGTGGGTGTGTGGGTATATTTAGGGGGGTGTATTCAATTTCAACTTTTAGAGACTTTTTAAGACTTTCAGAATCCTGGTGTATTCAATTAGAACTTTTAGAGACTTCTGAAAAGTTTACATGTATTCAATTGAGACTTTTAAAAACTTTTAAAAAGTCATTAAAAGTCTCAGGGTATTCAATTAAAACTTTCTGAGAGTCTCTATAAGTCACCCTGTATTCAAAAGATGAAGACTTTGTGAGACTTTATAAATTGTGAGACTTTTAGAGACTTTTCTCTGAAAATTACAAAGAGAGAGTCCCAACAGAAATCTCATCAATATTGGTGAGATTTTGCTGGACTTATGTGATTCTCTTCACGCTCCCTTTCTTTTTTCTTTCTAACACGCCTTTATATCTCATATCACTTTCATGCTTTATTATTTTCATCATTTATTTTGATACCTTGTATAATTTTTATTTTCATTACTTATATTTAACGTGATCTTTATTTTTTATATTTTTTATTATGGTTATTTTATGTATGTATACCTTTATTCTTTCGTTTTGTTATCTTGCGAATTTGATTTGCTAAAGGTTAAATGCTTCCATAGTTTGCACTTGCAAATAATTTATTTGTTCTCTCTTTTTATTTGTTAATGTTTATTTTTTAATATTAATAAAATTATTTTATTTCCTAATAAATTTATTGTTGATATTGAATTATTTTGAAAATTATTTATTACTTTATAAAATACAATTACTGTTTTTTGACAATGTTGGTATATTCTATAGTTCGGCTCGTTGAAGCTCGGATTGATTTGCTCGTTTAATAAATCTAAAAATCCTAAACAATTTCTTAGTGAGTAACTCATTTCGTATAACAATGAGTTGATTCATAAATTTTTAGAGGATTAATATATAAAATATTTTTTTTTCATTTATTTTTTCTTGATATTAGTTATTATATACGTTTATTAATGTTTCATTTCCAAACATAATATTATAACTACAAGTATACAAAAGTCTCAATAAGTTTTAAAAAGTTCATTATGAAAGTCTTAAAAAGTCACTAATGAGAATTCTCTGAAAGTCTCAACAAGTCTACCAAAGTCATGAAAGTTTTAAAAAGTCTATAAAAATCACCAAATTTAAAAAGTTTTAAAAAGTCCTTAAAAATCTCAATTGAATACAACCTCCTTAATTTCACCATCTGACCCTTGACTGAATTAATTTGTTTAATGGTGTAGAATAATATTAGTATTATTATTATATTAGTTTTGATTATTAATTGTTTTTATTTATCTTGACTTGGTGGACAAGTCAAGGAGTAGGGTTTATGAGAGTCTTATTTAAAAGACCCCCATCTATTATTTGAGTTAGTTGATTTTGAATATGAAATAAAATTACAGGTTGTGAGTCTTGCGTGTTTTACGAGAGAGTATCTCGTTTACTCGTTTATCTTCCCTTTCGTTCACGCTTCCCCTACATCATTTAATTAGTCATTATATTTTACCTTTTTAATTGATTAATTATCATCGGTAATCACCTTAATTTATTTTGTTATTAATTAAACAGCAGTGTATGTGTATGCATATGTGTTTTGAACTTTTGAGGTTTGGTGTACTGCAGGCAAGAAAGGGCAGATGGTGGTGGGTGTAAAAGTGTGCAAATTCAGTTATCCCCCTAGTGAAGGTTCTTGCAAGGTTAAGGGAATTCAAGTGTGCACGTATTGCCTGGTGCCTACTATGACAAACGTAAAATGTAACAATCAGTTGTGTGCGTGCGAATTTACAGTTCCCATAGGAACTGAATGCGGAAAAGATTGCACATATAGTTATCGACCCAAAAATGCTTGCAATGTTGGGCGGGGAATAACAGTGTGCAAGCATTGCTATAAAAAACATCCTACTACAACTAATGTAACATGTAACCAAGCAAGATGTCTGTGCCACTATCAAGTTCACACAAATGATAAGTGCTCCACATGGTAGCTGCAAAGACATGTATGTACACGACATACATCAATGAAAAATATTGAGAAAATAAATAAAGCTTTAATAAGCTGCTATAAATTACGTTTCCAATATGTGCCCGTCAGCTATATATTATTATGTTATTTTATTCTCATCTGGTTTAATATGCAGTGCTCGTCATGACCATGATATAACCTAAACACAATTTATAATAATACATTAATATATACATCAATTGAGAGGCGACTGAGGCAATGCACTTACAACAATAAATTAATAGTTGGTCCTGTGCACATGTATATATACTAGGGAAGAACCCGCCGTGCAAATCACGGCGAGGCCCACAGTTAAATTTGATCAATTATTTTTATATTTAAATATGAAGAATAAAATAAACACGATTATGGTTAAATTTGGTCAATTATTTTTACATTTAAATATGAGCAATAAAATGAACTAATGAGTCTAAATGATAAAATATAATAATGTCTTCATAAACACTACCTATAAACATTAAAAAAGTAGAAGGTTCTTAAGAATAAGCACAAAATGAGTTCTTATAATAAAAGATCTTCAAATATCAAAAATTCATAACACAATTGTCAATGCAATGTCAATACAAATATGGATAGAGCTCCATATTCTTGTTCCATCCATATTTGAATAATTACTAATTTTTGGGATCATAGAAGCTCAAGAACTCGTCCAGATTGCAGGCATAATATTCTGGTGCATCAAACACAAACAACGCTTTTGAGTACCAAAAAATTACCACAAATAGGTAAAAGGACCTCATTGAGAATATGAGGAAACACATTACATAGTCGACGCATCGGACATTCATTTCTATTTCCTTTCGATGAAGGCTGTAAATGTAAACACACACTACATATACCTCAGGCGCCCGTTTTCGGCATCTTTATGAACTTAAACATGAAAGTCGCTAACAGTCCATTCGGTTGTAGACCCTACTGGCCTCACGTAAATTTCTGTACCGACATTAAGCGATGACCATACTAGTGTTGCTGGTTTTGTTCCCGGATCCTGCATAAGAATTTTGAAAAAGATTACATCACCTCAAACAGTTCATTTTTCATATTATTAATTGTTTTGGATAGAAAAAACTTTATCCCATATTGCTAGAAAACACTCCCTTAATAGTAATACTTGAGTCATTTTTTGTCTTGACTTACTTTTCTCAATCAAATATTTCTTACATGATAGAAATACAACCGACTCGAAAGGCCGGCCCCAGTATAGAGTTTCCAGGTCCTCGGGTCATCAACCCACCCTTCTTCCTTTTTCTCGGGGTACCCATGCACAACCCACTCGGGATGGGGCAGGTTCTGGACCAACTCCTGGGCTTGCGGGTTGCTATACGGGTCACAAATGTCGAAAGACTATTCGAGATACTTTGCATTTGTAAAAGGAGCACAGTACATGTGATACGCACTGGACAGAAAATGTGACGTGTCGTTTCTTGGTATGATATGTCCTTTCCTACTGACGTGGTAAGGTGGGCACGAAACGAGGTTGTCCAGGCGGCACCAGCTTAGAGTTGATGGGTTGATAATCATCTTGCTATATCGGGTAACATCGGTTATGACATCATAGTCATACGGGTCCACATTGTTTTTCCAAAAGCTCCCGATGTCGAAGAGGTAGAATTGACTGTTCTACCCTCCGCCTTGTTTGATGTCTAGAGTTAATCTGAAGGTGAAGTTTGGGGACTCGGGTATTGACTGAGATAAATAAAAAATCCCATTTTTACGACTATCTTTTTTTGGCAAGTGTTGACAATTTACAAAAACTATCTGAGATTTAGCTTAATTATGAGAAAATTAGGTGATTTTAGAAATTAAAAATATGGAATGCTCTATTGACGGTCGTGTTTATTCTGCAAATGCACTTTATAAGGTGTGATTGTCATGATAAAACACATCAACTTTTCAAAGGTGTATTTGAAATTTCAAAGATAACCATGTATTTCTATAAGTAGGCTAAACTAAACTTTGGCGATAGTACTCGTAGTAAAAAAAGAATGGCGAAAGAGATACTAACTGACCTTTTTCATAATGCCACGTCCGTTATAATGGTACCCACAGTTAAATCATCTAGATGCATCAGACCTTAGATACAACATAAGCCAAGGATACTTAGACGATGTTGTCACCTTTTGCGACACAATCCAACTGTTTGTACTCAAGTTCTTGTGCCATGTAGTGGAGAAGAATTTTTTTTTATTTCCAGCGCCAACGCTTAAATCAGCATGAAGTCCGTAAAATCCTCTGACCAAGGAGCTACTTTTATTGCCATCTGAAACAACTCTTGACTGGTTGTGGTACACGAGGGGTTGGTTCGCACAACCCTCACCAAAACAGGGGAAGGTTCTGTTGGTCACTATCTTATCGACTTTCTTCCCATTTTCGGGGCAAAGTGTGGTTCTTTTGTTGAAATTTTCATTCTTTAGCAGCAACATCCATAAATACCAAGGTTCATCAGAATCAAAAACCTGACAAAGTGACCCCATTTCAACTGCATACTGATCAGGGTCCGTATATGATTTATATCGCCAATGGGAAGTTCATCACCTGCTTTCAGTCTGTTGTCTGATTCCTTCACTTTCTGGTGCAAGTTGCATGAGCTTCTTGAATGATCTGATCAATACATAATGAAACGAAGCTGATTTGAAAATTCAAGAAATAACTTAAGTTTCTTTCTCTTGTTATGTGTGTATGGTAATGCATTGTTAGCTTATTGTAGCCTCCAATTTCGAATACAATCATTTAACATGAATCAATTTGATATTACCAATTACCGTACTATAGGTATAAATGTAGCAAGCACATTGTGTTAAATCTCTTTATAACAGACTTGATCATGCATTCAATAACTTTTTACTTTCATGAAAAACTATAT